AGTATTGGTAGTAAATATCAGAATATAGCCTTCTTGAACTAGTGCAGTTAGTTCAGAAATAAGAAACCTAAAGAGATATAGAAATAATAGTAACTTTAACCCATTGACTGTGTTCAGTAGAAAAAGAAGCTCAATGAGGGTTTGGTGATTATTGTCTGTGACTAGAGTATTCTTTTAGATTCTTAATAGATCAACAGAGAAATATATCAATTAGGAATAATAATCATTAAGTACTCATTGAGCTATTTTCTTTGTTGAATACAGACATTGAGAATGTTTCAGATATTGAGAACTTTCTACATTATATAATATTTTTTAAGATATATAAGTGTCAACTTATATAACTTTCAATAAATAATTGTATTTAAATGGAAATGTAAAGTATTTATTCCATTATAGAAAGTTAACGAGTTTCAAGCTATTTGATTTAATAAATTGCTATTTAATTCAAATACTTGCTATTTAAGAACTATTACTGTCACGATTTTACTAGTATTAGTACACAAAGCAAACTACGTGTTCGCTTTCGTAATTGTACATATATTTTAACTAAAAAATTAGTATTTCTTTTTCTACTCTTTTTTCCACTTTTACCCTATTCTATATTTCTTGTTAATCCCCTTCCCCTTTTCTCGCTTTCTTATTCTCTATTTCCGTTTCTTTTTTTCTCGTATCCTGCTATTCTCTTCCGACCAACCGAGTTCAGATTTTAGATCTACTTTCGGCCTGAATTTTCTAGCATTTGTAGGTTGTGAAAGATCAATATAGGTTTCATTTATATAGAAATTATAGCTCTACTCAGTGCCTTCAAATGGCAGAAAACGCACAAAATGCCACTTGTAGGTTCTAAAGAGGGCTTCAGTAAAGCGTTGTAAAATCCTCCGGGTCTTTTTAACCAGAACTTAACTTATCTCTTTCATTTTATTAAGATAATGTATTCATTATTGCTGCGTAGATCATTAATGGTCCATGATGGATTCTCGTTTAAACTGTTAGTAATTTGTAATATTCAAATTATTGTATGTAATATTCAAATTATTGTATAAATTATGTGTATCAGTTAGTAATATTATGAAATTCATGTAATAATACTTCTTTTTATGGACATTAAAAACCTATTAATAAGAATAAATATCGTTAAGTGAATTTTATAATTTTGATTGATACATAATATTATACAATATTTCTTAATATTAAAGACTTAGAACAACCTATCGTTTATTAATTATTTATAAACATAGAATGTAAGATGTAAAACAATAATGTTTATTAAAATAATATACATTTTTATAGATTTTTATAGCTTTTAAACGTTATTCCTCTTTGGAAAATATCATTTTTTAACATGTCAACTGAGTTCTTTTTTTGCGAATGACTGTTTTGAATACGTCTATTAAGTTAGCCCACTTTCTCCCCAATCATCGAAAATAAAGTTATAATATATATGAAAATTAAGTGCTAATTAGATGCTAATTTAGTGCTGGAAAAAAAATTTGGTGCTCCAGTGGTTTGGCGGGAAATGAGAAAAATATTGAAGGGTGGGGGGTTAGCTTTACGTTAACTTAGCCCCCTCCCTCAATTAAAAAAAAAAAACATAAACAAAAAGAAAATCGAAATAAGATAGAAAAAAGAATCGAAAATAAATAAAAAATCGAAGTAAGTTAAAATTAAGTGCTAATTAAATGCTTCAAGAATATAATAAGAAATATGATAAAAACCAAACCGTTTATTAGAAAAAAAAAGAATTGGGCCATTATGTCTTAAGTACAAGTCAACTTAAAAAATTAGATGCACAATCGATATTAGTGTTAAATTGCTCGCCTTGTTATATATTTTATAAATATCTAATCGCCGAATTAGGTGTACCTTCGGTTTCGCAGAAATTTGCAATAGAAGCTACTAACCCGCTAAAGTGTCGTTCAAATATAACTCTGCGAGAAAAATATATATTTTTTATTAAAAAAGATCACTATAAGTTTTTGAATATCTCAGGAACTTCTTAAATAAACGTAGCTTTATTATGTATTATGTAATATGTAATATAATGTGAAAGCATCTCAACAAGGGCTATAACATGCAATAAAAAATAGGGGGTCACATTAAAAAATTCAACTTGACTTTGCCCTGACATTGGCAGCACCATCCAAGGTCAAACTGATAAGATGAGTAAATAGATCTTTTTAAATTCCACAATTTTTACCCGAAACACTTCTGCAAGACTTCTATTTTTCGAGATTTTTTAGGTTTCCATATTTTTTCCTCACCTTGAATACAAGGGGAAAAAGTAATGGAATGCTTTGGTATTTCAAAAACTATAGATTAAAAGAAAATGTTTCCAACAAAAGTTATAAAGTTTCAAGAGATTCATTTAATAGTTCCAACAAAACATTTTTTTTTTTTTCAAAAATGATAAATAGTCAATGTATGTGACAAATAAATGCCGATTCTATTCTTTAGCTTTGTATACTTATGTCAGTTTATGTCAGGTTGTAAGAAAGCAATGTATCACACATATGGTTACTATGCGGCTTGTACTTTTTACTGGAAAGCAATCCTGTAATTTTGACCGTGAATGTAAATTCGTACGTGTCATGATGATCGTTTCAAACGTTATTTTATCTATGTGGATGAACCGGGATTTATCCGGCGACGATTTTAATGCACATTCGCAAATTGATGTATAATATATGCTATTGTAAAACGTCTAATGGCCTTGAATAGGATTCATTTACGACTTATCACACAAAAATCATGACGAGTACTGAATCGTCAGCATTTTCAGTGTTTTATATATTCTCGAATTGTGCAATATATAGAATCGCTAGTAAAATAAAATAGATTTGGAATGTATATTATATATAAAGTAATTCTTTCTTATTGGAAGTGATTTTGATGCACGTTCTGTGTATAGCGAATTTATAGCAACAGTCGACGTTGTTCTAAAAAAAGAATTATTAAATTTATTCAGAAATTAAGTAAGTTTAATTATTTATTTGGGTGTGATATGTTTTACGAGGTTATACAGGATGTATAAACATTACCGGAACTCCAGAATATTTCGAAAGGTAACGAATAAAAAAGAAAGTTTAAATATCTCTAAATTTGACCTCTACGCTGGAGCTAAGATTATCATCAGTCGCTTTTTTTTAAACTCTG